CGCACGTTCCCCCGCCTACAGGCGGAGGCCTCCCTCGCGATACCCTACCCGGCCTGCGCCTCCACGTTGGCCTCCTCGGCGGGACGGTCCACAGCCCTTTACATATGCCATGGCGGTCCGCCAAGGCTTCCCCCCACTGCCTCGGAGAGGGCCTCCCCCCAGAGATAGGGAGCCCTATCAGCCCACGGATCCAGATTTCGCCCGGATGGTGCGCAAACTTTATGCCACCATCAAAACGGTGCACCACCTGGAAAAGGTTCCCCTAGAACCGGGGAAACCTGAACCCAGGATGATCTCCCGGATGGTTGAGATCCTCGCTGACCTCATTAAGCCGGCTGCGCCTACGCAGCACACGCGGGACCTCATCACAGGGAACGCAAAGAACTGGGGTCATAATACCTATTTAATTTTGAGGGAGCACTACGAGGAAAGCCTCAAGCAGCAGCTCGGTGACCTCCCAGCCCATTTGACCCCAGACTGGAAGGCGGCTTTTGAGGTAGCTGTCAGGTGGACCAGGAGAAACCTCAATAGGGTTACACAGCAGGGGATTCAGAAGGCTGAAACCCTGATTGAGGAGTGCCTGGCCACCCCTGAAGCAGCGGCAGCGCCTGCCCCACCAGTTGTTGAGGCAGAGGAGCTGAACGCTGTGGGTGAGGATCCACAGGATCCACCCGCCCCACAGGCCCCGCTCCAACCGCCACAGGCAATTTCTGTGGCTACCATGACGGAGGGGGAAATGGACCCCGCACCGGAGGATGACCCAAATAGGGCACCCTCTCCCCTGGAGCAGAGAATTCCACGGGAACCCCTCAGGCAAGAGGCCCCTGAGGAGGTGCTCCTCGTGGACTTCTCCACGGAGGCCATTGAACCTCCCAGTCCTCAACTCACGCTAAGCCATCATTCAGAGTACCTGGAGGCTCTGTTTGATGAGCTTCAGGCGGAGGAAGAGAGAGAGGATGAGAGGATGAGGCAGGCGGAACAGGAAAAAGAACAGAGGTCAGAAACCTCTGACCCAGAGGAACCACAAGATCATTCCTCTGACCGCTCTGCCTCTCCTGAGCCAACGGTGTTTTGGCCACACCGACACCCCAACACCCAGAGGAAACTCACCGAATGGGACTTGGAGGTGGAGAAGAAGTGGCTCATAATGGGGGACTCAAACCTGTCCTACTGCCCGCCCCATCGTTGTCCTGACCTTCAGGTGGACAGTTTTCCAGGGGCCCATTTTCGACACGCCCAGGCGTTGATGGAAAAGGCGGAGCCTCCATCCGACCTGGTTGTCGAAAAAATAGTTCTGGGGTTCGGCATTAATAGCCGGATAAATAAGTGTAAGGAAACCACTATAAAAAACCTACAGGGGGCACTTAGGTCCACCAAACGGAGGTTTCCCTACGCAGAGGTTTGGGTTCCTCTAATAAATTTCTCCCCAGATCTTCCGGAGACGGAAAAGGAGAATCTCCGGATTCTTAATGATTACATCTTCCGGAATGCGCCCTACATTCCGCTCCTTCCGGATCATCTCTTCCGCACCCAAATGGACAGCGTCCATTGGACGGAAGAGACAGCGGCGGCAATGTTGGACCACTGGATGGTGGCTTTAAACTGTGGGTCCCCCTAAGCCTGAGCACAGAGGGGGCACAGTTTGACGCACCACTCCAGGATGGCCAACAGGTGGTAGTGTTGGCGGACAATTTCCACCTCACACAGCCACAACATAGCCTATTGGGTAGAGGGCTTTCCTTCATCCCGACGCTAGAGCTGGGCAGGGGTCAGAAAACGCAATTAAAAAACGAACTAAAAGACTACCATAGAAAATTAAAATTGGCTACATTTTTCAAAAATAGTAAAAAGAAAGACCCCCTACCATTCATGCCCCCCTCTAATTGGTCCCCCTCATTAGGCTACTTACCTCAGCAGGTCGAATCCCTGGTTGAGCACGATTGGCAAATTTTCCAAAATTATTATCACCCCCACCGGGAATACCAGAACCTCACCCCACAGGAAGTTAGGGCACTCAGGGAACTACAAAGAAACAAAAACATAATTATAAAACCAGCAGACAAGGGATCGGCAGTAGTGGTGATGGACACAAATCAATACACATTGGAAGCAAAACGACAATTAGGTGACAAAAATTATTATAAAAAATTAGACAAACCGATATTTAAAGAAACTATTCCTATTGTAGAGAAAATTTTAAACAGACTAAAAACAAACAAATTTATTAATTCAAAACAACAAAAATATTTAATCGGACACAAACAACCCAGAGAGAGGCGCTTCTACCTTCTCCCCAAAATCCATAAGGACCCCCGCGACTGGACGGTTCCATTCAGGGTTCCACAGGGGAGACCAATAGTCTCGGATTGCGGTAGTGAGACCTATCACACGGCCGAGTACTTGGACCACTACCTCAATCCACTGTCCACCCTGCACCCAGCATACATTAAGGACACCTACCATTTTGTGGAGGTAGTCCGCGGCCTTGTCCTGCCACCACACTGCTCACTCTTCACCATGGATGTGACCAGCCTCTATACCAACATCCCTATAGAGGCTGGCATCCAATGCGTGAAGGACCTGTTTGAAGCCCACCCGGACCCCAAACGTCCTGACCAGGATCTCCTGGAGCTCCTGACGGTCAATTTGACCAGGAATGATTTTGCGTTTGGGGAGGATTTTTATTTGCAAGTAAAGGGGACGGCCATGGGCAAACGATTTGCCCCGGCCTACGCAAATATTTATATGGCCAATTGGGAAAAACTAGCCCTCCAGAGGTGTGAGAAGACCCCCAGATGTTATCTGCGTTTTTTAGATGACATCTGGGGAGTCTGGGAAGGCACCAGGGAGGAATTTGATCAATTCCTCACAACACTCAACTCTCACGACCCATCTATTCAATTAAAAGCAGAAATAAACACACATTCAATTGACTTTTTGGACACCACAACACTAAAAGGAACAGACTTCATTCAATCGGGAAAACTGGACATA